TGTCTATGCGATCTTGCATCTCGACGTCTTGCTTGAGCTCATTCATACGATAAAACCCTCGTCGCTAACTGAAGCAACAAGTTCGGCATCTCATTCGGGCCCGCACCCATATTACAAAAATGATATGCCGTTCACCCTCGTCATGAGGTCAGTGAAAGGGAAGCTTCTCAGTGTGCACAACGCACGGGTCAGTAGGTGTTGAGGTGGATGCCCATTGCCTAATACTAAGTAGTAAGCTGTACGCTTTGTAACAAACGTTGAATGGCGGATGGACATCAATGATACAACAAGAAAGCACTTGTGCTTTAATCACAAGGCAAGGATATGCTGTGTACTGGTAATCGCTGTAAGCAGTCTCTACAATGAGCTGCTCGACACGACTCTGCGAGTCGCGCGTCGCGTCGCGTCGCGCCGCCATGTGCAGCGCATCACGGCTTGCAACGGCATCGCCTGGCGATCACTCGGCATGCTGCAAACTCCGCCTAACTGGCATCACCACTAAAGGGCCTGACATTGCCTATAGACTATTGGCACGCCGACCACGCAGCATCTGAGAGTTCTCATCGTTGCATCTTCTCAGCTTCTCGCTCGGGCTCGACGGGCGGCGACGCCGCATATCGAAGCCCCTGTGCGGCCGGCGAACGGCCCAGACCCGGTAAACGCCGTCATCAGTGCCGTTCTTTGCCGCTGCCCGCCCTTCCGGGAGCTCGGACCGCACACAAGGCACACCTCCCATCCTCGGCTTGAACAGATCGATCAGGAAGCCTGTCACCATGTCAAAGCGAGTCGTCTACGCCACATCGAAGCGCGACCTGTATACGATCGGCCGTCCTCGCTTGTGGGCCCTCTGCGGCCTCCCAACCGCGCCCTTGCCCGCGTACATGATGCTTTGCACTCCCTTTGATGATATGGTGAGATGGCCGAGCGGTCTAAGGCGCCAGACTAAGGATCTGGTCCGAAAGGGCGTGGGTTCGAATCCCACTCTCATCACTCCTTTTTGCGCCTTTTTCGACATTTTATTTTGATTTTCTACTGATTTATTTTGCTGTTCACGCGCCCTCAGACTCCAACCATATAGTGTGAATACTGTGTACAGGTAAATACTCCGTGTGAGTACTGCATGAGTATTCCAATACTATATAGTATACAGTTTTCGGATACGGTTTTGAGAGGGTTCGGCGGCCGCCATAGCCATACGAGGCGCATCGACGCGCTCCCGGTACGGTGTCCATCTTCTATGGAGAGTGGCACGTTCCAGGATATTTCCTGGCGACCAGGGAACGGAGTTGCGTGTCGGGACCGGCAGACAGCAGTGCCTTGACCGCGAGTTCGACCTGCTCGGACACCACTTCGTTCAAGAACAATCCGCCGCGAGGCTTCGAGTCTCGTAGCTGACATCGACGCTAAGCCATCTGCGTGAGCTGTCCATGTCAGCTCGCGCATCGTGCAGTGCACGCTGTGTACCATCTGGCAAGTAATCCATTTCACAACCTTTGTTTCATCATAGACAGCATACACCTACTTGATCTACGTTAAAAAGAAGTAGCTTTTCCGAGATGTGCAATCTCAAAAGACACGATTAGAACGTTAGATACGCGTTTCATTCTTGAGCACCTCTCGTCCTTCAAAGTGCGAAGACTCTCCTGGCATGTTTACAATTTTGTGCGACTACGGGATAACAATCATTTTACGAAGCGAATGAACAAAAGCGTGGTTCCAATCAACGAGGAGGACGTACCATGCAAGTACTTATTTGTTGCGAATCTTGCAGAACAAGGTCCACAAATAACTCAACATCCACGTCCTCGGGAGCCACGTCATGAACCAAAACATCCAGCTCATCCCGCCCAACCAGATATTCCGTGGCGGGTGGGGCCTCAGGGACGCCGCGACGATGCGTCTGGCGAACTCCTCCGTCTGCATGGCTGTGGCGGACTGACTGAACGAGATGCGCTGCGTGATCACATCCGCGAACGGCTTGTACAGGCTGTCGTCAGACATATGGATACCAGCGGAAAGCGCGTTCTTCGCGATGTTGGAGCGGACCTGCCCCGCGGAGACGTGGATGACGGAGATGTTGAAGGGCTTGAGCTCTTGCCAGAGGACGTCGCTGATGCTGCGCACGGCGGCTTTGCTCGCGGAGTAGATCCCGTTCCAGGGTGTTGGTCTGTTGATAGGAGCGTCAGTTTGCTTTCGCTGTAGCGGCTTTTAGACTTACATATGCTCTGCGAGGGATCCGATGTTGATGATGGTACCTCTCTTGCGAGCGGCCATGTGCGGGAAAACAGCCTTTGCAAGGCGAAGAGCGGCGTACGTATTGATATCGAAAGTCCTATTTATGGCCTCCTCAGGGATATCGAGAAGTGCACCTATAGACCTGCATAAGATAATTCATGGTCAGCGGCCTGTATAATTAGATACTTACCAGCACAATTCGTACCGGCGTTGTTGACGAGGATGTCTATCTTGTTCTCGTCGTTTATGATAGCCTTAACGATACGTTGTACCTCTTCACCGTCGACGACATCCAATTTGAGCTTCCGGACGCCTTGATGCTTAAAGTCCATCGACTCTAGGCTGCGTGCTGTCGCGTATACTATGCATCCCTTGTGAGCGTATTCCTCACAACTGCAATTTGTTTCAGTGTGCATATAAATCAGAATTTAGGGAACGACGTACAGGGCAGCACCGATGCCTCCTGTAGAACACCCAGTAATCAGCACAACCTTGCTGCCAGTCGAGGCATCTAACGACATGACGGTATCTAAAGAAGACAAGGTAGCTGCGCTACGTCTTATGTATCATGTCTGCTGTATTCCAGACTCTGTGGAGTGATGTGTGGCGCAATACATTTCTGCTTCTAAATCGAAACCTTGAAGAAGTCGTCCAACACCGTGACAGTCCATTCTGGTCATGGCCGAGAAGATCTAAGTTATACGCATCCGGGCGCCAGAGTCGCTCCCAGCTCGATCCCGCCGCGGTTCACGCTTCGGGCAGCGAACGCGACTAATATACACGATTTCTGTTTGAAGTGTTACCATATCTGTATGAAGTTGGAAGTTTAAGACGAACTTGGATACCTTCCTTCTACGTGTCGTGTCGGCGGCAATCAAACTGGTTCGGTCCTACGAGCGTGGAGGGGCATCGTACCTTACCGAGACCTCTACTGTTTTTGACCCTCTACGTAACACGACTCGAAGCCGTATCATGTCTCGATATCTCTCTCCGGACATAACACCCCAATCAACGCCGTCCAAGCTCACGAAATCCCAGAAGTCGCGCGCGCGACGCGAGCCATCAGGCGTGTTCTCGCTCTTCCAACCGCCACAAATCCAGCAGTTCCGCGAGGCATTCTCGTTGATTGACCATGACGGCGATGGCGTTGTGAGCGAGCAGGATCTGAAGCACATATTCACGAGCCTCGGTGCGTCACGTCTAGCAGCCGTTATGTCGCGCGCACCACTGACACTCGTTCGATTCATCTATATTTGCAGGCATCACACCAAGCAAGCGCACCCTCGACGACCTCCTTGCTGATCGCCCGGGCGACCGCCGCGCTGGAGCAATCAACACCCTGCCGTCGGAACCCGACCGCGGCATTACATTCCCTATGTTCCTGACGATGATGGGCGAGCACTTGTACGACTTCGACACCGAGTCAGAGCTGCTTGAGGCGTTTGAATGCTTCGACGAGGGTGATACGGGATTTGTTAAGTGTGATGAGATGCGTCGGTGGTTGAGTGATGTTGGGGAGCGTATGGACGCGACGGAGGTGCGTGTCGGGTTGATGGCGTACACTGAGTACTGACTGTTGTGGTTATAGATTGACAAGCTGCTGAAAGGCCCATTCACGGACCGACAGGGCAACTTTAACTATCGTGAATGGGTCAAGGTTTTGCGCATCAATGCCGACAACGAGGAGACCGACTCGCCGTGAATGCTGTCCTATACCCCTATCTGCTGCCCGTCATTTGCCAGCATTCAAGCACCTAAACATTCTGCGTGTGCAATGAAATTCACGTTGATATCCTTAGCGTTACGACTCTCACGACATATACCCTTTGTATGTTTAATTTGCTTGTTATAAGACACAGCCACTTTGTATCACGCAGACACTCTTCGCAATGTTTTTGTCCTGTGATTCCATCAGAGCATCGTTCATAGGTCATGACGTAGAACCTGGCGTGGAACATAGAACATGGGTAAGTGTCTTCTAATACATTGTGCCAATCGTGAACTAACTCTGCATCTCTTCAGCAGAATAAACAGGCCAATTTCTTGTCTCTTCGGGATCCTAGCCTATTCTATCATGTCACGATAACTGCTATCATCATATTTTGGGGCAAATGTCCCAATCTTTCAACACCTTCCCCCAAGCATGGTGAATTGACATGTGGAAGGCACTGCGCTAACAAGGAGTTTCTAGCTCCATAGGACTTACTGAGTGGTACCGCTTCTACGTGTCCTGTTAGGCTTAAGCTTAAGATACCTGAAAAGCTCTCGAAGTTCAACTTGACACTCAATATTCCCTGATATCTATTTCACAGGACACGTACAACGAAGATGGACACGTCATTTCATGTCTCACAGTCGCGGGTCACTAAAGCAAGATATTCAACGTCCATTCAATATGTTTCGCTTTGGCTGCCTTCAATGGGGCCAACACTCGGATCATGGTCATCTTCTGGTACTAAACTTGCTACAGATGACATTCATCTCAGGGTGACACCCGGAACAGAGATCGCTCTTATAGGCCGGCTTGCCCACTTATCCCTGCCTCACTCGTTCACCTTCTTGAAACACCATGGTCGCGACCGAATGGACAAAAGTTGTATTGGTGACTGGATGCTCCCAGGGAGGTCTTGGGGCCGCGCTGTAAGTCTACTACTATCGCGTCATTACGCCGACAATCAGCTCACGCATGTACCAAGATGTGATGAATACGCGCAGCGGGGGTGCATAGTCTATGCAACAGCACGGAATCCGAAGGCTATGGTATTCACACATCCAGACATCCATATGCTACAGCTGGACGTTGTGAACGATGACGAAGTACAGAGTGTCGTGAGGACGGTCATCGAAAAGGAGGGTAAGATTGATATCCTGGTCAATAATGCCGGAGCGGGCACTGCAGGTAACGATACCTCCTTCACTAGTCAGATACCTGATGACTGACGAAGCATTTGTAGGTGCTTTGGTAGATACGCCGGTCGATGCCATCAAAAACATCTTTGAGGCGAATACCTTCTCAATCATGCGGATGGTGCAGGCTGTTTTCCCTCATATGGCGGCTCGTCGTAGTGGAGAGATTGTCAACATCGGCTCCATTAGCGGAGAAATGTGAGTCAAACCGCCGCATACACGCTACCAAAATCCCACAATAACCTCTGCTTCATAGTCCCATCGCATGGAATGGCGTATATTCTTCCAGCAAAGCTGCCGTGCGCGGATTCAGCGACGTGCTCTGGATGGAATTCAAACCTTTCAACATCTCCGTCACGCACGTCTCCGCCGGCTCCGTGCACTCCAACCTCGCCAAGAAGGCACTCGGGAGCGGCGTGCACATGCCCGACGACAGCTTCTACAGACCGTATGCCGCGCAGATCACGAAGCGCATCCTCGCGGGCAAGCCCCCGGACTCGCTGTCCGCAGACGAGTTCGCCCGGCGCGTAGCAGTGGCGTCGCTCAAGCCGCAACCGCCGCGGTACATGACCTTGGGCAAGATGAGCTCGTTGTGGTGGCTGCTGTCATGGTTCCCCCGCACTTGGGTGTTGAACCTGCTCTGGAACAACGTGCAGAAAATGGGCGCCCCTGTTTCTCAGCCAGCTGAGACCAATGGGCATGCTTAAGCCTTGGAGTAGCGCAATTCTATAATAGTTATACATTCTCGGTAAAGACCGCCTCGTATTCAGGTGTCCATGCCATGATGTACTGCAATATCAAGTTTTCTGAGCCTCCTACCTCACATGGAGCGCTAAACCGTATCGACC